GCATCTGACATGGCATTTATGTTCATTTACACGGACTGTTTAATGCTGCTCATGTACATGTATTTACACAAAATTGCACAGCCAATAAATAAATCTAAAATTATAATCATTAGGGAGTGAAGCTGCAATATCATGACAAACTCATTATTGCTCTTGATACTGTAATGATTATTAATCGATTAATAGAAAGATTTTGTGGGGAAACAGCACATCATATTCTAGCTACAGAGGAAAGGAGCTAAACCGTTTACCGTAAATGTTTGCCCTAAGATTACGGCATCTACCAGCAGAGGTTATCTGGGCCATACTAACCAGTCAAATCTTGACCTTTTGGCATAAAGAAGACCATTACTACCTATTACCATCTGCTTGATTAGAATTTTATATTAAACTCTAGAAGGCGGTAAATCTCCAGAAATAGGATTGAGCACCCCTACAGTAAAGGCAGACAGCTAGAAAATGCAGACCAAACGTTTTGTATGTGACAGCAAATCTTATATATCCAGTATTTCACACTTCACAAAAAATAACAGCAAAGCAAAATATGGTATTGAACTGCAGTGTTTGGTATAATGATATTTTGACTGTTGTCTGCAGTACAGATCCGCTTACTGGCAACTTGCTCGTCTATATCCTCCATTCCGAAGGAGCAGAATGTCATAAAGTGACATAATGAAAGACATAATGAAATTACACCATTAAATATGCACATCACTCATCTCAGAGACGTACAACACTGTGCATGACTGGACAAGAGCTCATTAAGTCACTGTAACTCTATCTGTAATGAAGTCATGCGCTGTGATTAAGGCTAAGCTTCAACCGTCTTAGTGAACGAGGGACGGGAGCCAAAATCACTCCTATGGTGATGGAGGTGTGAATTACAACAGGTGCACATTGATAAACTGGTAAATCATCGCCATGGGGGAGAAAAAACATCAAAACAGACACATGCACACACAGGCCTGTTTGCAAACTGACCTGTGCCATTAGATATTGCTTTTGACCCGATTACACAGGTGAACTCTGCTAAATGTGCCCGTTACACATATACACAAATACACGCACTGGAACCAAATTCCCTTAATTTGTTAATCAATACTGTTAAAGCCGATGAGAAAAGTCCAGTGCAGGATAATGACCTCCATGTCATGTCAATCCATCTCTTCTTCTTCCACAAACACTTTCACAGAGACGTGCTTGTTAACTTCAGCAGACAACAGTTTGAACTCTGTAATCTGCTTTCATTTTTCAGTTTTATCTGACCACATACTGCTGTACCCAAGCGAAAAACTAAAAAATGAAAATACACTTTCAATTTCATTGAGTTAAGAGCTCTTTTTCTCTATAAGTCAGTTGTTTCTCTGTTTTATCTGTTGTTAATCATTCTGTTATCTATTATTGATATTTAAAAGGGGTCATATGAAGCGATTTCAAATTTTCCTTTCTCTTTGGAGTGTTACAAGCTCTTGGTGCATAAAGAAGATCTGTAAAGTTGCAAAGACTAAAGTCTCAAATCCAAAGAGATATTCTTTATAAAAGTTAAGAGTTAACCACGCCTACCTAAAACGGCTCGTTCTAACACGCCCCCACATGTCTACATCACGATGTGGGAAGATTTGCATAAAAAGGCGCCCAAATGTTTACGCAAAGAAAGAAGGCGTAACTCTTATTCTCGCTGTAGTATTGTTGCTGCCGCTGCCATGTCGTGAAGGCGCTGTGTGTTTCATTGTGAAAGCGAAACTACTTTGTTTGGTCTTCCAAAAGAGGACGATATCTGCTTCGTCATGCCTAGAGCTGATCCGTGCTGGTCGCTGAGGAAATACCAAAGCACTGGATAGCTGGCCAATAAGAGCACACCTCGCTTTTCAGACCGATGAGCTTTGTAAAAATCAACGCGTTTCAGAAAGGTGGGGCATAGAGGAGAAAGAATAATGTACAGTATGTGGAAAATAATGTGTTTTTTTAACCTTAAAATGCATTAACACATTTCATTACACCAAATACACAAGATGATGTTCTTTTTAGCAACATCATATGACCCCTTTAATAATGATCATTTGCAACCAAACAAACATCAAATAAGAATCCTGTAAAAAAAAATAAAAATTCTAATTAAATCCTACTGAATGAAGTGAAATGAGATTGTCCTATTGTTAAATATATTGTCCTATGAATACAAGTTTTGTTGAAATCATATAGGAAATTATCCCATTAGGATCTTTCCAAATGATTTTAGAAATTCCAATATTGGATTTATTTTTTACTAGGATATCTATGAAAAATACATAATAAAATAAAATGTATTAATGAATTCTGAATTTAATAAATTAATAAATGTATCCTCAATTTTATCAGTTATTTTGCACATACACTTATTACATCTACTATCTTTCTATTTTCTGTTATTGATGTTTAATAACAATCATTTAAAAACAAAACAAGAGTCAAATAACAATCCTGTAAAATAAGTAAAATCCTATTAAATAAACGGAAATCAATTATTTTATTGCTAAATATATTGTGCAATTAGGACAATATGTTTTGTTGGAATCACATTGGAAATTATTAGGACCTGTCCAAATTGTTGTTGAAATTTTTTTTATTGTATAATTCCTATATTAGATTCCAGAAATTTTACTAGGATATTTCTTCTATAAAAATACATAATAAAATGATTAAAGTATAATAACAATAATATAAATAATAATAAATATTCTTATTATTATTATTCATATTGAATTACATTATTAATACATTTTATTATTAATAATGATCATTTTAATTCAAATAACTAAATAAACAACAAACAAACTTTTACAGGAAAGTACACAACATTCTAGCCCTCTATTTTCACTCCTACTGTGTCTCCACTCCAAAACTATAAAGCAAATAAGCACCACCAACAACACTACACATCTAACATGTTTCATCATCCATCCCTGCATCCCTGAGAGGCTTTTATTGACTATTATCCTTGTTGTTTGAAAAGTAACATTTATACATGTCAAATTTCCCCAGTTTTCAGGATGATAGATTAAGCCTCGTTGTTTGCTCATTCGGTACACACACTAGTGCAATGTGGAGCGGTACATTGTCAGACAATTTGTATACACAAGCAAGGTGTCTACAGCGTAAGTATCATTATTTATGAAACAACAGCTGACACAAAATCTGATTTGCACCATCTCTGTGTAACCGTTATATCATTGAATGTCTAGAATGCCCTCGTGTCCCTATGTTCCGTTGCCATGCCAACAGAGGCTCCGTTACCACACCAACAAAATCTCTGAGTGATGCTTCACTCTGAAAGACATTCCACACTCTCCTCATCCCTCTGGTGCCCGTCAATCAGTGTCATGCTTGATTGACAGCTGCTTCGACCCCACTGACGTGGGTAAAAAAACGCTGTCACCTCACGTTAATCAGAAGCGGCGTATCTTAAGAGGGTGATATGGGAGGAAAGCGTCATCAGACATTTTCAGATCCACTAATGACTTTCGTGTTTTCCCAGGAAGGAGTCTAACGGCTATCAGGAGCGTCTCGGGAGCAGCTCGAGAAAATAGAGCAGGAGAGTGAAAGGCATCTCGACCTCTCTGTCAGTTTCTCACCCTATTTTCTTACCGCCTCTCTCTTTCTCAGTATTTATCGCTCCTACTCTCTCTTTCATTAACCCACTTAGCTACAATGTCTGACCCAGACCAAAGGCACATTACTCAAACTAGACAGAAGGCAGCACGACCAAGAGTAATTTGGGCGAATGCCTGCATGAAAATAAAGCAATGGCGCCCTGAGTATCACAAACACACACATTCGTTGAGACAACAGAAAATACAGACATGTCTTTAAAGCCTTCGAGTAGGTGACAGAAGATAAAATGGCGATGAGAGAGAGACTGAATGTGCCTGCTTAAAAGTGCACATCACAGATCGAGAATGGTAGGAAATATTCAGAATATTCGACTACCATTACTACTTTAAATGTTGTTGCAGAACATATGTATTCTAAGCAAATTGTCTGTATACATTGAGTGACCTATACTGCATTTGTCAAAATGGGCAGCATGCAACAGTGTGCATAGTGCTGGGTGTGTGTACTGTATGTATCCCACAGTGCAATGTACTCAACTTCCATTTCCACTGTGATAAATGAACATAAAATGTGTTATGATTTTAACATCTCTTTCATGACTCATTATTTGATTGAACAGTCATTTTTGCACCAAATCGATTTAACCAAGATTAACCAAGATGAAAACTGGATGCCAGTTGATAAGTTAAACCAAGTGGTTTGGCCAGTTTAGCATGGTCCATTTAGGACCATTAGCACCATACTGTGGGCAAAAAGCATCCTTTATTGATGTCCATTCAGTGGAGGTGGAAGCTGCATTTATTTGATCAAAAATACAGTAAAAACACTGCATAAAAAAAGGAAAATGTACTGGTAACTTACTGCCAGGATATTATCCATTAATTTTATGGACATTTCTGTTAACCCTAAAACACAATGCAACGAAGTGCAAAATTCACAATACAGGTAAAACACCTGTAAGAATCAGAATGTAAAATTCTTTCATATTAATACAGTACATTGTGCCCTATTTTTACCCATTTTTTTATAGTGTAAGTAACGTGAAATATTACAACAATTTAAAGTAACATTTTTCAATTGTAAAAATATTTAAAAATGTAATTTATTCCTGTGATGGAAAAGCTACATTTTCAGCAGCCATTACTGCTATTAGTCTTCAGTGTCACATGGTCTTCAGAAATCATTCTAATATGCAGATTTGGTGCCCAAGAAACATTTCTTATTATTATCAAAAAAAAAATTGTGGAAACCATAATACATTTTTTTTTCCTTAAAAATTTTTTTTTTATAGATCCCAAGCTTTCGAATGGTAGTGTACATTATTCATAGCTAGTATTCCATTACAAGCATAATCAGAGATAACAAGGATACAAACAATAGAGGAAAAGAAAACAGAGTTCATCCCTTACCTTGAACATTGCCAGCCCAACTCCCATTTTCTCTCCTCAACTCCTGCATGTTGATGTGAGCTGGGTCTTGTCTCTTCCTCTCATAGCCCTGGATGGAGGAGTGACTGACTGTTGAAGTAGTTTGAGGGATTGGTAAGGAAAAAATAGGACTGGTTCAGAGACCGTGGATGAAAGTGTAGGTCCTACTGTAAATCCAGGCTGGATGACTGAGCACAGGAATTGTCTATTGAATCAAAACTATTAAGAAAAGTCACTCAAGAAAAGTAAGAAAGATGCCTGGCTCACAAATAAAGACAAAATAAAAGACAGCTATGCAAACGATATTCAGTTACTGAAGAAAAGTTGAAAGACTTATATCAAATCTAAGAAATGTACTTACTGTAAAATTGAAAATGAACCAGGACAAAGTCTATGACAAAGCCTACATTGGCTACAAAATGTGATATAAAGTGAAAAAAGGGTGAAAAGGAGATGTTTCTTGATTAGTCTAAAAGTCCGTTTTGATCTGAACAAGTCCACAAACTCTGGAGCTGCTGGATGCCCAGTAGTGAAAAAGCTGAAGCAGCGACGTCTGGTCTTAATTGGTTCAGGTATCCATGTACGTCCTTTGCTGGGTCCTTCTCATGACACTATTGGAAAAAAGAAAAAAGAAAAATAAGAGAACAGTATCTTAAGCACAGGTTTTTGGGCAAATGATGTTGAAAAAAAAGGTCAAATTTGTTGGTGACTTTGGAAAACTGAGTGCGATTTTTCTTTTTTCCCCTTTTGTTATTTCTTTCAGTTGATCTAATATAGAGTGCTCAACACTAAATGCTTCATTGGTATGTAATAGATGAAGTTTAGTCTATTTCGAGCTATAGAAGGGACAGGCGTGTTTCACAAATACACATAACACACTTACAAATGCATACAAATACATTTATGTGTGATATTTTTATCATGTTACTTACCAGTCTAACTGTCCTTTGGCATTTCATCAGTATTATTTGGATAATGTTTACAAAAATGTGAAACACAAGACGAGTGCAAGCATTCAAAAACATAAGACAAGATGGTCGCCTTCCTTTGATATGTCCATTTCGAACAACAACAGGCAAGTGAGATGCTTTTTTCTTTTAGTTTTTGTTTTTCATACAGTCCATGTATAAGAAAAAATTGTGATGAAGATGATGAATTCAGGACGTCAAAAGAAAATTTATTTATTTTTAAATTCAGCTAAATCTAAATGTTAATTGAGATTTCAAACCAGTCACCAAGAAGGAAGCATAAGCACATAAACTAAATATGATGCTTAGAAAATAATATATTAAATAAAATATCAGTATGAATGGAAAAAGGAGATGTTCAGATTTCCTTCCATCTTAAGTTGCAACACAACGTCACTTCTTGGATCCCCATTCCTTTCTTAGATTCATTTCAAATGAATTCAAAACCAAGGGAAATTAAAAACAATCCTGTTTGAATCTTGTTTTTCTAAATATTCAGAGGTAAACATACATTACATTCTACAAAATCAAAATACTAACACAGAATATCAAATCAAAGAAGGCAGTTCTGAATTAAAATGATGTATAAGATGAAGTGGAAAATGTTCATTAAAGGAGGCTAAATTAGGGGATATAAATAACTTACAGTGGGGAGTGAAAAGTTTCATTCTCTAATGAGCTAACGGTCATACGGTGGTCATGCCTGACAGCTAAAAACAGGGACCCTCAATGAGTACAAAGAAAATCAAGAGGTTGTGATAAGAAGAGGAGGTGACGGCCTGTCTGAAAGGTGTTGGATGGATGGATAAAAAGAGAGAAGAAGGTGGGGAGTGCCAGCAGAAAATTAAACACTCAATAAAACAAAGGACTGACCATAACAGCTCAAATGGACTTGAGCTTTCAAGTAGGGGAGACAAGAAAAAAAAGAACTGACTGATGCACTGAAGCCTAATCAATATTTTGAGCAAATACCAATCTATTCTTCACAATTCAAGTTTCATGTTTCACTAGCTTAGAGGAGGTTGCCAGCAATACAAATCACAAGTTTAAAATGTGTCCAAGAACCGCAAATTAAGCAGTCACGCCAACCTCACCCATCTCAGTCAAAGAACGGAAGCAGAACCTCATCTGAAATTTGTCTGTGACAATTTCTCAAACAAAATAAGACACTGATGCTTGCACTGGACACTGGAGATGAATGGAGGCTATTTCAGACTGGGCAGCCCAAGACCAGATGTGTGCAAGTGTGTTTTAAGTGTGTGTGTTACAAAAGAAAGAATAACAGGAAACAAATGTCTTGCTGTTCATAAGTACAAATGGAAGATGGACAGAGTTGGAGAAGGGTAAAAATGGGCATGGAGAAATGATATGTAATGCTTGATATCTGACTGTCCATTAGTTTAATGCATGTGTGTGTGTGTGTGTGTGTGTGTAAGTGTGTGTGTGTGTGTAAGTGTGTTTTATGTACATGTAAAAAAGGAACACACAAGTACACACACACAGACAAACAGACCAGACAGACACTAAACGAGCCGTTAAACCTACCTAGAAGAATATTAAAGCATCCAGGGAAAAAAAGAGTGATACGTGAGGGTAGATGGTGGAGGACTAAAACAGCTGTTTAAAAAAAAAGGAGAGAAAGAAAAATAATTACAAAACTGATAAGGAGATGTGGAGATGGTTTTGAGTCTCTTTCACAGTTCTAACCAACTTTCATTCAGGGAGCATCACACTTTTGGGATGAAGGGAGGGATGGAAGAAAGAGGGGATGATCAGAGGAGAGAGATGGGAAGGAGGGACAGGTGAATGAATGAAGGGGGTCATAAATAGTTAAAAATGAGTGAAAGTGTAAAAAAAACTTGCCCCTTCTTTCTCTTCTCTCCTGTCTCGTCATAAATAGACAAAATTATACACCATATAGATGGAGAAATAGATCAGGAGGCAAATGATGGAGAGAGCGAATAAATGAAAAGATGATGTGCCTCCAAGCACCACGATGAGAAAGAAGAAAAAAACAAAACGAAAGAAAAAAACAAATATTCCAGTGCCTTCCGTTTTTCTTCTCTGCTTTTAAACAGGGAAGGCAGTCACTTTGTTCCTGCTGTCCAGTTGTTGCTTTAAGTTCTTTTTCTCTCACTCTTTTTTCCTCTCTTACTTTCTCTTGGCTTCTGTAGAAGAAGTCCTCCGTTTGCAGTAAGTAATAGCCCTTTTCCACAGACAGTGACTGAGGCAGAACAGTAGGAAGAGGTGTAATGGTTGCAATGTCTGCCCAAGAATTCCACACATGGAGACTGTGCTCTCTCTCACTCTCACTCCCTTGGTCTCTCTCTCACCCCTCCCTTACAGGACAGAGCGCTGTGGAGTAGGAGCCAAGCAGAGAAAGGAGAATGAGAGGGGGCCCTCTACAGGATTACTGCACAACTGAGAGAAAGAAAGAGCGTAAGAAAAAGAGGAAGAGCTGGGAATGTTTCCTCAATTCCAGTCCAATCAAACTGAATATAAATGAGGCAGTGAATGTATAGCTGTACCAATACACATCTGATAAATGTCATATAACTGTGCAGTTTAATATATGTCGTTTTGTGGTAATGCAATTTTTCAGTTTTGAAGGATCTGAGGATCCTCAAAGCAAAACACAGTTTGCATTTGCGGATCCTCAGATCCTTCAGTTGTTATTATATACACAATATGGGGTATTTTACCAAACACAAGATTAGATTAGATGATGCAAATAATGAAAGTTTGAAATGCATTTACTCAAATATATATGTGGATTTTATATAATAAAATTTTTTTTTTTTATATATATATATATATATACATATACATACATACATACATGGGTCAAAGACGTTAAGATGTCTGCATCAAAAGAAATGTACAAAAGTGATTTTATGTCCATAGAAAGCACATTAAATGTAAGTAAAGTGTCTACTTTTAAGTTTTCAAATAAGGATAAAATGTCAAAATTTGGTTGAAATAATGTTATGTTGTCATTCAATATTCATCACAATATTTATGTAAAAATTCGAACAACATGCTTATTCTGACGTGTACATATTAAAATATATAAAAGAATAAGGGAGCATATTACATTTTATTGTGTTTTAAATGAGTAAAACATTCTTACTGACAAATGGGCAAAACCTAGGATAGTGGCAAATTTTTAAAATGTAAAATTACAACTTATTAGTATTTGGGGTGAAAGTAATTAGTCTCTTAATATGTCATACATTGATTTTTGTTGTAAATATGCCTGACAAGATTGTTACACTGAATGACATTTTAGTGGGTCTCTTCTGTAAATAAGGGAAAAATGCATGATATTTATTTTTTGCTCAGAAAAACTAAAACAAAATTGCAATTAAATTAAACAGAAAACTTTTTAATTTGGGGGGGGGGGGGGACAACAACAATTTAAAGCAGTATTACACTTATTGTTTTTATGCTTAAACCCTTTTTCGTCTTTGACCCACATACATTTGAAAAATCTCTATCTATCTATCTATCTATAGATATTTTGTTTTGTTTGAAAGAATTTTCTTCTGCTTGACAAAGCTGCATTTTTGATCAAAAATACGTAAAAACAGTAATATTGTAAAATATTATTTAAATTTAAAATAACTGTTTTCTATTTTAAAATTGTACTTATTCCTGCAACTGCAGAATTTTCAGCAGCCATTACTTATCAGTCTTCAGTGTCACATGATCAGAAATCATTATAATACTCTGCTCAATAATTAATATTTATTATTATAATCAATGTTGAAAACAGTTATCTAACATTTTTGTGAAAGCCATGATACATTTTTCTCATCATTCTTTGATGTAAGCTAAATTAGTAAATAAATTCTACCGCAACTAATAAATATTATACTAAATAATTATACTAAATATACTATATTTAGGATCTAAATTATGTAATTATTTATGTTTTGTTCAAAATAGAAATACAATTTCTTTGTTTTGTGACTATGCTCATTACTCTTTATCATCCTGTGGTATGTGCAATTCAATTAAAATTCCAACTCATTAATTGAAATGGAGCCAATTCTTAATTCTGAATATTGCCCAGTCCTGCTCAGATACGGATTCTGTACCAGTGCACTAGCACTCCATCTGTCATCAGTCGAGGTTTTCTGTGTAGATGTGAATGTCTTGTTCTCAGATGTCTGCTCTATCAAGGACTCACTCTCTCTCTTTCTCTAGATTCTTGGCTTGAGCTACTGATCACTTGTGCTTTTGATCCTCCGTTTCTTGGCACCTGTCTTCCACTCCTTTTTTTAAAACTCACACAGTCTGTCTGCCTGTTGCTGTCTGTTGATCTTTTCGAAATAGACAAAAATAAAAAGGAGAGTTACAGAAGGACCATGGAAATGGTGCAATTTATGGCGAAGGATTTTAGGATCATTTATAATTTCAACTGAAAAGGCTACTGAACTAAAGGCATATACATTTTACCACCTCGGGCCTTAAGTACACTCTAAAAAATGCAGGGTTGTTTCAACCCAATGTTGGGTCAAATATGGACTAACCCAACTGTTGGGAAAATTTTGGTTACATTTTTAAATGAGCTTTTTAACCCAACAGTTGGGTTAGTCCATATTTGACCCAACATTGGGTTGAAACAACCCAGCATTTTTTAGAGTGTACCAGGGTTTTAACGGAGATAAACAGATATTGAAGGACCATCTTAGAGGGGTGCACATCAATGACAGATTCATAAATTATCCTAAAAACAAACCACCAATCCTAAATACTAAACCTAAAGCACTGTGAAAGCTATATTAACCCTGATTGGAATTCATGAAGCCTACTTACAATTTGAACATAACTAAAACAATACTGGCAGCATCACTGGCGTCATTTACATTGAGAACGGCAAGAACGTGTCCCCACCATTTTTTGTCATGGATAATTTCATCCACACATGTTTGCAGCAGCAATAACAGTGATCTTTAAATTACAAAATGTATTTAGAAAGACAAAAAAGATAATAACACAAACAAGATATATAAGCCTAAATAGGAATTGTATTTTGCATACAAGCATATATACTCTGGGGTTGTCTACAAAATAAAAGCAGAGAGGTATGAAAGTAGTATTTTTGACACTCTATCACTGTACTGTTTTGATTAGGGAGACTTTGTTATTTCAGCTAAGTTACCAGCTGTATTCTATATGAGGTTGACAGCAATTTTGGCACATATAGTCGTCATGCTGCCAAACAGATGGAGAAGAAAGAGATATGAGCATTAATTGAATGTGTTATTTAACGGTGTGTGATGGGAAATAGATGGCTGTTGCTTACCAATGGGACAATCCCCATGAGACGAAGTGTGATGTGAGAGGACAAGATCACCAGCCATATAGCAGACACATTTCTGATTGAGAATAATGTGCTGTGTTGGTCCTTTTTGTAACTCCTCTCCCATGACCAGTTGGAATGTTAGATGCACAACACATGATGGGGAGATTTGCTATAAGCAATAATATCAGAGAAATCGACTAACGTGAACTTTTCCTGTGTTAAATCTTCTACGTAATATCTGTTTCTCTACATGAAATTCTTTTTGCGAACAGAATTCAGTCATTTCAGTTGGAATCTGCAGTGTCACATGATCAGAAATCATTATAATACTCTGCTCAATAATTAATATTTATTATTATAATCAATGTTGAAAACAGTTATCTAACATTTTTGTGAAAGCCATGATACATTTTTCTCATCATTCTTTGATGTAAGCTAAATTAGTAAATAAATTCTACCGCAACTAATAAATATTATACTAAATAATTATACTAAATATACTATATTTAGGATCTAAATTATGTAATTATTTATGTTTTGTTCAAAATAGAAATACAATTTCTTTGTTTTGTGACTATGCTCATTACTCTTTATCATCCTGTGGTATGTGCAATTCAATTAAAATTCCAACTCATTAATTGAAATGGAGCCAATTCTTAATTCTGAATATTGCCCAGTCCTGCTCAGATACGGATTCTGTACCAGTGCACTAGCACTCCATCTGTCATCAGTCGAGGTTTTCTGTGTAGATGTGAATGTCTTGTTCTCAGATGTCTGCTCTATCAAGGACTCACTCTCTCTCTTTCTCTAGATTCTTGGCTTGAGCTACTGATCACTTGTGCTTTTGATCCTCCGTTTCTTGGCACCTGTCTTCCACTCCTTTTTTTAAAACTCACACAGTCTGTCTGCCTGTTGCTGTCTGTTGATCTTTTCGAAATAGACAAAAATAAAAAGGAGAGTTACAGAAGGACCATGGAAATGGTGCAATTTATGGCGAAGGATTTTAGGATCATTTATAATTTCAACTGAAAAGGCTACTGAACTAAAGGCATATACATTTTACCACCTCGGGCCTTAAGTACACTCTAAAAAATGCAGGGTTGTTTCAACCCAATGTTGGGTCAAATATGGACTAACCCAACTGTTGGGAAAATTTTGGTTACATTTTTAAATGAGCTTTTTAACCCAACAGTTGGGTTAGTCCATATTTGACCCAACATTGGGTTGAAACAACCCAGCATTTTTTAGAGTGTACCAGGGTTTTAACGGAGATAAACAGATATTGAAGGACCATCTTAGAGGGGTGCACATCAATGACAGATTCATAA